CTCACAGTAACTAGGTTGCATAATTTCATTTCTGACATCATTAAAAATCCTACAATACACCTGCCCGTGAACAGTAAACACTTTTGGTCCCCGACCTGGCAAACGTCTTGGGTTAAGGTCAGTAGAAAACATAACAAATGCCAAAGTGTTGTTGTATCGTCGGATTTCTTTTCTTAAGTGTCTGGCTACCTGTGAATCATCTATTAATAAACAAATTAATAATTCTGGGGGTTGACCCAACACACGGTCTTCTGTAATGGCTATTTGACCATTGATACAACACGTTGAAAAATGAGTCTTTCCAACCCTCTCACAGAGGAAATGACGGCTACGACAGTGCACACAGATGGCGCCCAATAGTCCCATGTTGTGCCGTTCTGGAAGTTGGTGTTGAACACTGGCCAGACGGTCTCTCACAGGCACACGTACTCCCGGAACACTCAGGGGGGTTAGCATGAACTGTAGTTTTTACAAAATTAAAAAATTGTCATCTATTTTTATTTAATGAGAAGTATTCACTGACTTCATTGTCAACATCTGGTGGTAGGACGTCGAATAAATCCATGAATTCAAAAACTGTTGTAGCGTCAGCTAGCAGCATATCTACAACCTCAATGTTCTCTTGGGCTTGTGCCAATGGTTTTTCATCTATGTCCACCACAACATCATCAATTTGGACTTCAACAATTTCCACATTCATTTCTTGTTCGCCATCTGGTGCTGATTTTATACTACCTATAAAATAATATGAGGTCAGTTATAATGTGTCTATATAAAATCATTGAAATTTGAATTAAAGACTTTTACACGTAACAAATATAATAACAAATTAATGAATTAATGCCATATTTTCTTAACAACATCATACCATGATGGAACAGAAATGAAGTATGATACCACTATTGTATAACAAATAATGCTAATGAGAACAATAAAAGTATTCATACATGCAATAGAGTTACAGAAAACGAGTCTGGTATATACATTCTATATATATATATATATATGTGTTACATACAAAGTCCGGAATTGTACATTTCGCAATTTGTACAGTGATTTTTGTACACATTGCGAAGTGTACAAAGTAACTAGATTGTGCAGCAACATAGTACACTATGTCAAAGTAGTACTACTTGTCAAATCAAATCAAAGAATAAACAAAATTACAATTACAATAATTAATAAATTGCTGAAGTGCTGGGTGTGCTATGTATGTATGTGTGTGCGTGTTTGTATAAGCATAGGTAGCAGTCATCACAATATAGTAGGATATTTGACTTGTTATGTGTTATATTATTTATTATTTATGTTGTTAAAAAATTAAAAAATCACTCACTAAAGATAGCACTGCTGTATTAACCAAATGGCGACGACGTGAAGTGCCTACTCTATAGTCTTCACCAAGGACAGAATGCCTTGAACATAGAGTGGAGGTGGGATTTAACCGTTCAACATCCACACCATTGTTCTCAGCGAACAACATCCACAGATGCCCAAAGTCATAATTCGCTGGAAACCTAACACAAACAACATATATTATTATAGTACGTATTGCTGGAACAATAGTCCAGTAACACTGTTTCATATGTGTATGAAAATATAATTACCTGTGCAAAGAAACACCTTCGACGTTCCCACAAATAATTCATCTTCTGATCATAATAATGGGCTTAAATAACGTAAGTTTGAAATGAAATAATTGAACATGAACATATTTATGTGGTTGTTATTGGTTTTGGTATAAATAAAAAATATATTTTATGTTGAACACATCCTACGTACAATAGAATATATTAATAATATATTAATATTTATTAATATTATTATTAAAAAATAAGATGAAAGAAATACATGTATATTATATTATAATATAGTATATATTTCACTTTAATTTAATGTATAACTATTATTATCAATATTATCATTATTTATTGTTATCGGTATGTTATCAGTTTTGATAATTCATAAACCTGGGAATTCCAAAGTTATGAGTTATTTTTAGAAATTGTTGTGTTTGAATAGTAATAAAAACATTATAAAATTTTTGTTAAAAAAAAAAAAAAACATTGTTGAAACTCGTAAGAACGAATTACGAAAAATATACGCGATGGAAAAACATTATAAAAAAAGTCAGTGTAACGAAAACTAGCCGGTGACTGGAGCAACTCTAGCGGCAATTTTCAATCAGTGGTCATAAAACTAATTGCCATTTGCCACGTTTTTTTAAACACATGCCGTACGCCTATTGTGTAAACATCACGGCGGCAACACGCGGTTTTGAGAACTCGTGGTTAACGGCACGTTTCTGGGCGGGCGGGTTTCGGGGGTCACAGCCAGTTTTCGTTGCGCGGACTTTATTTTTTATAGTTAAAGTTAACGTATAATAATTGGTAAAAAAAAAAAAAAATTAGAAATTGTCATAGAATGCCGACTTTAACGCGTATACTCGTTGGACTGTATTGGACTGTAATAAATATAAAATATAACCTTGTAAGCACGTTTTCCACTCTCCCTACACGGCAAACATAGTACAATACCAGTATTGTTAGTATTGTTACCGCTATGGCTAAATACTTAGGTATGTCCATGAACTAAGATATCTTAGTTTTAGTCACTATACAACCTGAACCATCATAAATACCGTGGCACTCAACGTGTTAAGTAATGTGTTTAATTACTGTATTGTGTAAATAATGTGTATGTAGTATTTACGATTATTGGGATTATTGGAATTTTGTTTGTTATGTATTGTTTTCAGTTTTCATGTTTCAAAATGACTAATGAATAATGATACTTACCTAATCTAATCTTCCCGATAAACTTATAAACTAACTCAATGCTAATATTCTAAAAGTATGTATAGCTATATTAATGTATTATTTATTATTATGTATACAGTATACTTACCTCTTATAATATACCTTGACTAGGTATATTATTACTTACCATTCTGCGTTATTGAGTATTGTAAAGTATTTTGGTAGGTAGGTACTGATGTTTTTTTTTTTATATGATTTATAAAATACTTTTTTATAATTAACTAATATTTAAATACTTACATAATTTGAGATGTGAAAAAAATATTGATAATTATATGTTTTTGTTTAGATCATAAACTTTTTAAATTTATTTTTGTTTTTGATGTGTACATTGTCATTAATTATTTTATTTATTTGATTGAACCGGATAAATGTTCTAGTTTCTAACAAGGCAGCTGACGACTTCTTCAGGTAACTTATGTTCAAGATGTGCCATTACTATTAAAGTTAATGTTTCCATAATGTTTTCACCACCATTTAATGTATCCCCATGGATTTTGTCAAATTCAGCCATCATTTTTTTGGCAGCTGTCATCAATATTTGAGATGGTATAATTAAATTTCCTTTTGAAATAAATGTCCAATTTGTATTGTCTTTATTGTTTTCAGAGGAACTTATTTGACCGAGATATGGGTACTTTGTCAAAAATCTTTTTGCCACATACCCAGTTACATATTCTAACATGTCCAAGTCAATTGCAGTTAACAAAGAGGTATTATTACACTGAAAACATGTTTTTCACACAAAATTGAGCTAAAATATATTTTAAAATTATTTTTTTTAAAGTCATAATTCGCTGGAAACCTAACACAAACAACATATATTATTATAGTACGTATTGCTGGAACAATAGTCCAGTAACACTGTTTCATATGTGTATGAAAATATAATTACCTGAGCAAAGAAACACCTTCGACGTTCCCACAAATAATTCATCTTCTGATCATAATAATGGGCTTAAATAACGCAAGTTTGAACCGAAATAATTGAACATGAACATATTTATGTGGTTGTTATTGGTTTTGGTATAAATAAAAAATATATTTTATGTTGAACACGTCCTACGTACAATTGAATATATTAACATTATATTAATATTTATTAATATTATTATTAAGATGAAAGAAATACATGTATATTATATTATATAGTGTATATTTCACTTTAATTTAATGTATAATTATTATTATCAATATTATCATTATTTATTGTTATCAGTATGTTATCAGTGACGATGATTCACGAACCTGGGAATTCCAAAGTTATGAGTTATTTTTAGAAATTGTTGTGTGTGTGAACAGTAATAAAAACATTTAAAATAATAATTAAAACGCGAATTTTAATGCATTTGCATATTTATTCTGATTGATCGTATGATATGTTAAGTGAGCACAAAATTTGTTTCATTAAAAAATGAAACTTTTTTAGTGCATATTTTTGCAAGTTTCGACATTTTTCCATTTTGAGGGCTTATTTTATGATTTTAATTGTATATTTCATCTTTTAGTGCATATTTTAATCTTTTTAGACATTTTTTAAATATATACTATTGCAATTTATTATAATATAAGAAAAAAATATTTTATTTGTATAGTTTCAAATAATATCCAAATAAATTATTAGGTATTAACGGTTTTTCCAAATATAACCTTACATCAATAATTGGGGAAATAAAATATTTAGATTAATCTTATAAAGAAAAGAAAATATCGATTACGTTAGTAATTGAACACTAACATTATTTCACGATTATTCAAAAAATAATTTTTTAAACATAGTTTTTATTTTTCATGCCTATTTTAACACTTCAGTGCATATGTTTATGCATATTTAAGATTTTGTAGCGCATATTTGGTTGGTTTTGAACGTATATAAATCCGCGCTCTAGTAATAATCAACTCTATTTTTATATTCTTTCTTAGTTGTATTATAATTTATAATATGTCATACATACAAGGTAAGTGACTTTGATCAATCTAAAACATTTATAGTATACTCGAATATCTATACGTAAATTGAGTTTTTGAAAAATATTAATTTATCCAGTAAAAAAAAATCATAAATACATTTCTATAACAATATATTAGTACATTTATTTACCTGCAGTAAGAGAATTGAACATTTTGGTTTATTTAAATATTTTAAAATAGAGTACATAATAAAATATAATCTGGCTACTGTTAAAAACATAAATTAATTAAAAATCATTGCCAAGTGACCAAGATTGTTACTTCTATAGTTCGTTGTAAGAGTTATAAGACAGATATCTTCTCAGTCGACTTGTGAAAATAGTGTGAAAATAGTTATTTGTATTATTTTACAACAATACGAATTTAGTTTTATTCACAATGAGTGTTCATGGAATAAAAGTTTATTGCAGGCTTAGGCCATTAAAGAAAAATATCGTAAGTCAATATCGTCCCATTTTTTTATCATGCATAAAGTATGATGATACATCCATCATTTTTAATTTATAGTATGAAATCACCAATAAAAAGACAGGTATCGATATTCTTGATGTTCTTGACTCATCATCCACTTCATCCTAACATTAGAAAAGGTTAATATTACATTTAAGTTTGTATTACGATGTATTATATATAATTATTATACATTTTATTTCTTTTACTATACTTACCTACCTATTATAATTTAAAAGTTTTGAGTTTTTGTATTTCGTTATTCAGAAATATTACTATTGAATGTTTGAAAA